CTGGGGTTCCAATGGGAAGTGACCAGTAGGGTGCATCCGGTCAGGTGTGAGGACAAATACTCGCCGAAGACATTGGCTAGCGGTTGCGCTATATCGTGAATTGGCAGAAGTTAGAATTCATGGGCCATTGGATCGGGTCTCAGTGGCTTAATGGTATACGAGCTCGCCTTCTAACCAGAAGGTCCTGGGTTCGAACCCCGGTGGGTGCGTGCTGCTGAAGAGTCCCAAACTGGGCTGACGAAACAGTTGTCCAGTACTCCCTGCAGGTTTACCAATGGTTCTCTAACTGATGTCAGCTCATGATGAAATCCTGTTACCAATCAACTAAATCCCTACAAACCAATACTTGAATTCCAAATTAGTTTCTTCATTAGATGTATGATAGTCAGTGAAACAGTATTATTTACTGGGATGACAAAGTTTCGAACAAAATTTATTACTGTTCATAATCATTTCATCAATTATAATCACACGACTTCGAAACTTCAGTTTTTTAATAGTTTTCATTGTTCTCTCCTATTTATCGTCTTAGGTAGGGGTAGTAGAATTTTCCAGATGTCCGGGTGAGTGGACAGGTGTTGAATCATTCATTCCTATTACAGTGTTCGCAGTTGATTCGATAAACAAAGCTGACGGTATTAATCCTGCTCCCTCTACTCTTGGTGAAATGTTTAAGTAATAAGGTCACAAAATCTAAGTATTAACAAGCAAAATTTAAGACAGGAAGTCAGGCATATAAGAGAAGCTTTGAAACTTAATTGATAATTACCCTGGTAAATTAATCAGAAAGTATGTAGGGAAATATAAAAATAAAATCTATAATAATAATGGTAGTGATAGTGATAATAGTAATAATAATATTAATGACGACATGCATGTCAAACATGCACAGGATAATGACAACACCAACAATAGGGGATTTAAATCATCAGTAGTACTTCTTCCCATACAAAGAAGGAACTTCGGAAACCCTACGGCGGAGAATTATTAACAATGCAGGCAGGAATAAAAGTGGCTGGCATTCAAACCTATAATCTCAATTAGAAATAAGCATTGTCGGTTAAAATATCAATCCTGTGGAGCCTTTAAAACAAAACAATTTAGGTTACCTAGTACTCTGCTGGAATGATTGTCAGGTTAAATAACACTTAGGTCAAAGTAGTAGAACGGGATCGATTGGACTAACGGAGCACAAAAACCCATCAAAATTTCGATTAGTTGGCTTGGTCTCGTAACCTGAAGATCCCGGGTTGAATCCCTGGTAAGTGGGGTCATGACTACGGAATGTTAAAGCATCCCTTGAAAGGATGAAACAACTGTCCAATACTCCTTGGTTCTCAATGACTTCTCTAACTGTTGTTGGTTCATTTTCGAATGGACACTAGTCAGTAACTAGAGTAATGTGTGTGTGTGTGTAGTCCTTTGTTTGGTGCAGACTGAATTCTATCAGTCTAGTATGCTATGTGGCCACTATACCAGCACGGTGCACTGTGAATTGTTGGCATCAGACGGTGGGAGTAAATCGGCAGGAAGCCTTGTTGAACCAAGGTTTCGTGCTTGTCAGCACTCACCAGTCAGTCACCAAGGCGTATCTTCAAACCTTGATGGAACTACTTATGTCCCTCCTTCTGAGATTCAAACCCGCGTCACTCAGTGTGCTGCAGTTAGTTACAGACGTTGCCAATGAGCTAGGTATTCGGGCTGGCGATTGATCTCCTGTAGGACGGTACTGAATATTTTTGATTGGACATTAGTTAGTAGCAACTAGTATAGTGTGTGTTTCTAGTCCTTTTTGTTTGGTTGGTGCAGACTGAATTCTATCAGTCAAGTTCACAATGTGCACACCGTGCTAGTTGGCTTGTTTCATGACGAAAATCCAAAAATCGATATATATATATATATATATCAGGTTCATAAAAGCACCCAGTACTCATATTTCGAGAATTTTAGTATTCTTAAGTAATCTATCTATCACCAGCTTTGTTTTTCGTCCTACTACGTATTTCAGCTTCTCTTAAAATATTTGCTGAAAAGTGTAGCGACTTGCACTAGTCAATACATTTTAATTACTTTTAGTGGTTCCGGAATGCGCGAAGCTTTTTTGTGTATGCTTGCGGAATAATGGAAATAAATAATTAAGGACTTCGCGACACGTGTACTAATCAACAGGTTGGTTCAGATGACCATGCTTTAACTTCAATTGTTGATGGATTTTTAGGACCGTCGATCTTCTGACCTAATCTACTGATCTTGTCAACCATCAACCTGTCTTACAGATACGTATAGCTTGCAATCGTTATTCTATATGATCTTACATTTATTTCAGAAATTTGCGGATTTTTAAATTCAAATAGTGTGTGTGGTTTGTCCCTCACAATGAGAGAATAAGTTATGTAGCCACAGGAGATAATAGTGTATTAATTCATATGCTATTTAGTAAAAGATCACAATAGAAATATAAGAAAGCAAAGTTAGTTCATTGTGCCAAATAAGTGAATTTGAAATGTATCAACAGTTGGTTTGTCGGCTTCTGTTTGGTTGCGGCACTCAACACGAATTCCCAAAACTGAACTTGCACGTCCCAAATCGTAAGGTTGAAAGCTAAGCACTAGCTTTACACGAGAACGAGGCCTAAATTTTCCGAAAGAGAGTTTAAAAAAATTTAATTAACATACATGTAAAGTAGTTTGCAGTATCTGAGCACATTTCAAAACAGTGATGGGAAAGTATGTGGGGAAGTTGAGTAAAACTGGTGATCCTGTAAATAACTAATATATTTATCAGATACTAGACGGCATAACCTACCATGGTATATGCATCTCCATATAGATCTCCCACCAGCTTAAGGTACTAGTCTGACTAATACTACTCACCAGACAGTCTCTTTACCGTTTCTCTTTGTCTAGAGCTTGGAGTCAGATTAACATCATTCCTGGGTCTTATTAAACAAAATTCAGAGTTTGAGTGTATACTGTACCTTTATAAACCATAGATAGGTACAGTTATCCTCTCACCTTATCAATCCAAGATCAAAAGAAAATCCATCGGACGAGATAATCCTCGCGCCTTTGCTGGTGTAGCACATACTAGCGATTACGGAACTCATTTGCTAGAGTGAATTTCAATGAAAAGTAATTTTCTTACTGCCCATCTGGATACTTCCGTAAGAGAACAAGCAAAGATCAGAAGTTTGCTAGGTTTTACTCCATATCTGTGAGACATGCAGTTGAAAATAGAGGTTAATAAAAGACTAGCGGTATCTGACCACCAGTACCTTTGGGTTATGTAGAATAACATGATAATTAATTAAGCGTAATGAGAGGAAGTCAGTCAAACGCTATCGAATACAAGGGCTAGTAAGTTTTACGCATACCGGACCACAGCTTTTCTCGACTAACAAAGTTAGCTGAAGTACGACTAGGCTGAGAAATCCAGAGATAACCAAATGAGAACGTTGGACATCGAGTACTGAGATCTTCGCAATACTAAAAATCAGTGATCGGTTTAAAATCGCTCGTAATGACGCAAATGTATTATCAAGATTACGAAAATCTTCATTGGTCGTCATCTAATTACTGCTTCCCGTAAAAATTCGTCTTCCATAGTTTAATTACATTTGTTTTATTTTTTACTTTTTAGTGCTACTCCGAAATGTGGCAACCTAAGCTGATACACTGTTCTGTAGAGTTCTGTATTGATAATCTAGTTAGTTAGTGTGAATAAAACATGTAGAATTTTGTTAAAACTAATTCAGTGATACTCACGCTATACGAAACCTCGTTTCTTTTGGTTCTGTCATATAAAAAGGTGGATTTGGAAGTTGAAGTTTGACGAAAACCTCTGCTGTCTTCAAGCGATTGATCAGCATAATCTAGCAATGAAGCAGAAAGGATGACAGTGACTCACACAGTGAAATATATCTGTTTAGAAGAAACAAGCCAACATAAATGCTAAACATAAAGTGGTATGCAGAGTTGAATGAAAATTTAAAAAAACTGCTTACATTGTGGAAACGAGTTTTGGTTGTTGTAGACTTTGAATCTATGATCTCAAATTTAACCGGCAGACCGACAATATCAAGTAGACCTATAGGAACAGATTTTGCAGCAATTTCTCTCGACAACGACACATTACGATCGTTGAATGTGAGATCTTTGGACAGTGAAGAGGAGGACACTTCAAGTTTGCTGTTAGACGTGTTTTGTAGATGAGCGCATGGAGATCTTTTATTTAGCGTAGGTTGTTTGCAGCACTAAAAGAGAGGATGAATGGGAATTAAGTTAAGTATTACATGCAGTGAAAATTTGTCGAACCAACAACTGATTAATTCAGTTTTGTCGAGAACCAAAAGGGATGGTTAAGTAGACGCCGTAACAACAGATACAAATTATAAAAGGGCAAATCAGTATTTCATCGATAAAAAAAACAGGTGACGGTATGCCCAGATCAAACAGTTTAAAAATAGAAATTAAGTTTCAATGCCAACACATTATTTTTTATTTATTTATTATTTTATTCTTTCACGTTCCCCAGTGGAACAAGAGCTTCAAGCTAGTGGCCTGAAGTTTCTGTAGCAGTTTTTATTTATACAGGATGCCCAACCTTTCCTTTTTACCAGCTTTATTTCTGGTTTAGACAGGTAAAGGAGTGTGTAAGCCGGGGATCGAACCCCGGGCCATGTGCATGGTTGGCGAGCGTCCTAACCGCTGTGCCACCGACGCCAACACATTAGAAACATCTGTATTCTTCTATCCTACACATATTTTCATTCCAAATATGTACATGACATCGTATACTGGATATTTTAAGGCTTTACCTAGAGTTACATACAATCTTTAGCTTTATTGTACAGTCAACACACGTTGAAATAATTAACAATATCAAAGCATCACCACCACTCAATTTCCTATTCTCGAAATCAATCTCCACTAAAACAGCTTTAATCTGGACAAACTTCTGAAAACAAAGGAGGAAAAACTTGCACACAAAATCATACTTACCGAACCTTCTAAAGTGACTAAAAGTGTAACCGAGTCTTTTGGGTTATATTGTACTTCATGGCGAGATTTATTTTGTGAGTATGGTTCTATCCAAAAATTAAGGTGCCAATCTTGAAACATTGTATTTTCATGTGATGAAACAGGTTTAAAAAGAAAGGGTATAATCAATTGACCATGTCCAGCTTTCTTAGGATCAGATGACAGGATAGCAAATTTATCGGTCGACTGACAATTATTTTTGAGTGAATCAGTTTTTGTATGCATCAACTGAAATACATCCCGTCCCAAAGTCAGCCTTTTGCTTACTGAACATGAAGAATGCACAGTAGGCCGTTTAACTTGTACATCTGTCACAGGATTGGCTGACCAAAACACTTTCCATAATGAAGGAGAATCACTACTGGATGGAATCGGAAAGTTGCTTGTTTCTTCTACTAAACTTACTGAAAAATAAGCTGGAAGCAAGACAAGAAATGAGACGTTATTATAACTGTTATATGGAAATAAATGATGATTAGATTAGCGCTAAATACTCATCAATCTTTGAGAATTCCAGTATTGAATCTAACCTTGATTTACTCAATCACTTCTACGTCTCTTCGTGGTTGACACTCATAACGCTGTATTCCTGCTTCCTCTTGTTAAGAGGAGTGCCAACTCAAAACAATACACGGCTCTACGACGACTTACTTGCCGGCAAGGTGACAAAGAGGACCATTGGCGGGCATTCATCAGTTTAATGGTACCGCCGAAAGCTGTCTAGTGTTTATTAATCAATCCAATCGCTTTTATGTCATCTGTATCCACACCTAAGTACAGTCAACAGCGGCCTTGTATATACCGAAAAAGCTAAACGTAACAAATGATCCCGAATAATTCTTTGCACAAATTCTCAACTTTATTTACAGCTTTGTTTCACATACAACAGTGTTCTAGCATTTATGTGGATTGCTTAGCTAAGAGATACACGAGTAAGTGCTGACTAAACTCTAATCAACAAGAAAATGTATTGTTCAGTGAATTCCTACCATTACATGTGCTGCTCATTAACATTTCCACAAAAGACGGCGTAAAGCTAAACGCCAACATAAAGCCGAATAAATCGTTGCTTTTCTAATTATCATTCTTCTTTTAGATATCAAAAACTCTAACCAAGAATAATAAAACTGTAATCAGTGTGAAATGCAATTGATGACACATCTGTGAAAGCCAGATGAATAACTAGTATGATAATCAAATTGGCTGATCAAGGTCATGCAAGTTTAAAACTATCAGTGTAACGACAGAAGACAAGGGCCAGGCAACAGATCGTTTATAGATTTTTATGTACATTATTATTCATTATTGTTAGCACAGAAATAACATCTTCTGATTGTTTTTGTTTTCCTGCTGAAGGTTATTCTATCATCTCTTTGTTGCCGTTTCTTGGACAATCCGGTGATATATATATCTGCGAATCGTATCCGCCCACGCTAAGTCTGCTGTGATTGGTTGTTGAGTTCCTCAAGGTTAGGCTTTGTTCTTGTTTTTTCTCATGACCCCAATTTAGGTCGTAAACATTGACGTAAATTGCTGTCTACCAATTTTGGCTAGCAGACAGCTCTCACCACACTAGGACTAGAAGGTGTCTCGTCATGATAAGACGCATTTTAAAAGCCTAATATAAGATAAACGTGAACGAAAGCGACTGGCCTTAGAAAGTTAACAGTTTTCACTAAACTTTGGAGTGTTCACTTACAAAAATAATTACCCTACAAACATTTTAATTTACGTCAGTAGGTGAAATACGCCCAAATGTGTTTGAAAGGATGTGAATTCTTCTAACAAAATATCGAAGAAGAAAGGTAATCAGTAGTAGGTCAAACAAACCAAAGAAAATTACCTTCTGTTGAACATCCGTGAACACAAGATGGAAATACCAAAGTATTGGAAGGAATCAATTTTATCTTTGGAGGTTGTAAATCTGACAACTCCCTTCGATTAGTATCCTTAATACTGGGACTGAGATTAGTTGCTGGTGGACAGGCTTCTTGTAAACTGGATCGCTTAGATAATGATTTCGATGACAAGGATAGCGTACAATCTTGAAGAGCAGAATTAAGAGAACTTCGCTGCTTGAAAGCATCTCGTTGAACAAAAACACTAGCTAACGAATTTTCTAACAGTGATTCGCATACTGAATGAAGTTGATTAAAACAACTGGAAGCTTGATCTTCTTTTGATGCATAAATATACAAGTACATAGGCTCACAATGGTGCACTTGATCTATCAAAGCTTGACGCCAATCTTGTGGTCGAAGATCATTGTGTGATGCTGATGGCAGTTCAACTAAATCAAATATAATAAAATTGCAATTTACGTAAACTAAACCTGTATTCTAAAAGTAAAACTTTTAAAAAATCCTTGGAATACTACTATGAAAATTTTCAGAAAATGTACAGATTCTTATCGTATTAAATACTTAACACCGACTGACTGATTTCAATATAGAATTTTGCACATGTGGCACACAAAGGTAGAGAAAAGGAGGGAAACTTAGCACAGATAAGACGAATGATACATGGTATGGACTAGAAATTATCTCTTTTTTTCCTTCACGTTCCCCAGTGGAACATAGAGCTTCAAGCTAGTGGCTTGAAGTTTCTGCAGCAGTGATGTTTATTTTTACAGGATGGGGTTTGCTGGCCTCATGCCCAACCTTTCCTCTTTACCAGCATTATTTCTGGCTTAGCGAGGTAAAGGAGCGCGTCGGTGGCCGGGGATCGAACCCCGGACCATGTGCATGGTCGGCGAGCGTCCTAACTGTTGTGCTACCGACACTCAGAAATTATCTAACCCAACTGTATTACAGATGTCACTTATATCTACCTTTATTCAATAAACATCTTTCCTTTGTTTCATATATTACAAAGAATAATAATTGAAAGGTTTCATTGGATTAGAATATATTTCTTTTTAGTAGACTACCAACCTTTTATAAATGTATAAAGAAATTACTACATATGATAGCATAAATAATGCTAAAACCAGATGATCAGTTTATAACTAAGTTGGCCAAAACTTAGCAAAAGAACTTGAAGTTATCATGGTGGCTGCCATGCTCAATAGAAAAGTCATTTAGAAAACTGTGCGTCTCAATCTGACAGTATTTACATCATTCAACAATGAAGAAAGATCTATTGTTTCTATCGGAAACTAGTTCCCTTCTTAAAATCTGCACAGGACTACGTATCTACCAAGGGGAAATTCCCATATTGAGTCATCAACAAAAGAATACATTGTAATGAAGAAAATTTTTCTGACGAACCACTTACAAGAACTGTAGAATCATTTTTACACCTCGAAAATGTAATGAATAATCAAATTGTAACTAGGGGGGCTGAGGATTAGTAAGCATTGATAAGGGTTACGTAATACGGTAGGCACTGAGAGAAATAGAATGTTAATGAAAGAGCATAGAGACAGGTGTCCAAAATATTACGTAATAGGTAGAGAGAGTAATCAAAGGGTTAGTTAAGAAAAAGGTGCTACTAAAATTTCATACAAAAATTTTTAAAAAAACATTATTAACAAAGTAGTAGTGTGGTGGTGTGATACAGACAATATGTTCCAAAGGAATATGATTCTCACATATTCCCACAGTTCAATACGGCATTAGCAACATAATACTATGTGTATTTGAACATTCTATTTCATGTCGTTTAATGTAAACCAAAATCACACGCTCAGTGATTGTTTAACGAATTTAAACTGTATATATCTAAACAGCAGTTCGATTATTGGAAAATATACTTTGGTTTCCGTGTCTGGCCTTCTGTTGTTACAGTAGAGCTTGAAATTGGTAGAAGTTTCTTCTGTGAACATATATCAGGGTTTCCCATCCGGATCGCTAAAGCCTCGGCAATGCAAAGTAGACGGAAGCTTACCGTTTTCAGGAGGCTTCTTTTGACTTTTTAGATGTCTTTGGATGAATTCTCCTTGCATATTAAGTGATCTGTGTTGAATAGATGTCCAATCATAGCACTCCTTATTCATCCACTCTTACCTTTTCGTAGCAAAGAGGGATAATGTTCTTTGACTCTTTTAGATGAAACACGCATCAAACGACCTTTATATCTTGCTCCATAAGAGCAAGTAAATTGGTAATATACACATAGAAGTGGTCAAATGCGATAATTTATCTTTAGAGTTGTTGAAGAACAACGGGCCGCATGAAATACCAATCGTAATTTAACAGCAGAGAATGTTCTTTTCAGGGCGTTAGATATTCTCCTATTTAGGATGTCGATCAGAAAGTTACCTTTGAACGCCACATTCATGTATAGCACCTTCTTTGGCACAGAGACGGGTTGTTCTTTGTTGATTTTCGGCTTTATGTCTTCATCTGTAAAGCGTGGTGGATAGCCATTCTCAAGTAGTGTTTCACTCAAAAGGGTGGTCTCTTCTTCTATTGATTCAGGACTGCAGATTCTTCTAGTCGCAAGAGACATTATCACGTTTTGCTTGCGATTGATGGCTACTCAACTGTAAAAGTTTGTCAGCTGGTCGTTCCACATAGACTTTCGATATATTGATCTCTTTAGGGTTCCATCAGTCTTCCTTGTCAGTTGGTCGTCTAGAAATGAGATTGTCTCTCCGGTTTTTACATCAATTGTAAATTTGATGGTTGGATGGCAGCTATTAAAAACCTGAAGGACATTCTTCAAATCACATTTGATAAAAGTGTCATCAACGTACCTTTTGTATCGAGAGAAGTTGTCGATTTCAACGGACCATTTTCTAAACTTGCCATGAAATTATCTGCAAGTAACGGGCCTAAAGGTGAACCCATAACCACACCAAATTGCTGTCTATAAATAGTACCATTGAGTGTGAATTGAACGTTCAAAGTGCATCTAAGTAGAAGTTCTTTTAACTTGGTTGTAGGTATTCCGATATTCAAGTCGTTATTTTCCAATTACTTGCATACGAAACAAATCGTCTCTGTAATCGGGACATTTGTGAAGAGAGATTCGACATAGAGTGATATATCATGCGGTTGTCGCCCACTTTCCATCTTTCATACAGTCGATGAATTCAAACGTGTCTCGAAGAGAGTATTTTAAAATTTCATTCTCTAACAGACTGTAGGAGTCCTGCCAGCCATTTTGCAGTTGAATGGTATTGAGATCTTGACATGTCCAAAATACCGCGCAATGGACGTCACTGTTTGTGAGTTTTTCGTGATCCACATAGTTGGGGTATTGTTGAACTGGTTGATTGAATGCTCTCGTAGACATTTTCAAAGATAAGTTGACCACTTTTTAGCTTTCTCAATATCCCAATGAGTTGCATTTCAGTTATTTCCGTTTTGTCTTTCTCTTTGTCAGGTGCAGCGAACACGTTGTTGTCTGAAAGAATTGTTAACATTTTATCAATGTGGTCTTTTCTATCCATCAGGAGTAGGCCAGTACCCTTATCAGGGCATGTGATCAGCAATTCCTTATTACGTCTCAGTTGATTGAAGTGTTCTGTATTCTTTAGTCAGTTGGACTTTGCATTAAGGCAGTAATGGCATGAGTCTAGAACTGTTGACTTAAAACGTTTGAACTCCTCTTCAGAGATTGGAAACAGATCACCAATCTGATTGATCAAATTTTCACACTCAACTTATGTATGCAGCTTGCTAATGTTTTGGTTTATGTCACAGAATTTTGATCCGACAGATAACGCCTCCAGTTGCTTAGGAGATAAAGTTACTGAAGAGTGACTGGACACAAATTTGGCAGAATCTTTCGGAAATTTGCATCGTATTTCAGTGGCTTTTAGGCTACTTAATAGGTCTGAATGGGCAGCTTTTGTGTGCCTCTCCTTAACCATTCTCATGTACTCAGTGAAAGCTTGGCGTTCATTACTTAACAATTCACAAAACGCAAATGATGGTTGTGCTATGTTTCTCTCCAGTTCTGGGACACGTGAAAGAATGGAATCGATATGGTTCAAAGTGTGACGTCTAAGGGATTTGGAGTTAGGATAAATATAACTGCGACGAAGAGTTCTCCAATACCACTTCGGATATCCAATGGTTACTTATACAATCTCTGAGAAAACCGATCTTCGCAATGACTTCAATAAGCTTGACAGAATAGCGCAGAAACCCATTAAGTTCCTTCACTGTGAAAGGGTCATTGTTAATTTTCAATTCACGGAAAATACCTATTCATCAGACATGAATATTTACTCTCCCCACCTATTACATAATTTATTTGTTTTGGACACTAATCTCCATGCTCTTCCATTAGCATCCCATTTCTTCGAGTGTCTTTCCTATTACGTAACCCTTATCAACATTTCTATTTATACAAAAAATTTATAAAACCAATCACATACTGGCAACTATGGCCTAGGAAGTGTATTATGTAAGGTGAAGTGTAATCTAGAGGAGGATGACTAAGTAGCGACCAGAAAAAAGAGACAGAATTGGGAATTGCGCAACAAGTGTGAAAAATGACTAATCAATAAAAAAATACAAATGGACAGAGGCTAATGGAGGGTTTATATAAAATCTGAATGAGAAAGGCCGTGTTCTTACTAAACAATAGTAATGATAGTAATAATAATAACAATAAAATGAAATGAGTCATTCCTTTCTACATTAAACTTCCCATTACGTAATATATTTTCTAGAACACAGTTACCAGCATATAATTGATCTTATGAATTCTTTGTTAAATATAAATACAACTATAGGGCTCTTGAAAATGATTCGTCGAAAAGCAATTGCCTTAGCTATTTCGTCTTTTCTAGTTTTGTTTATTAACTTGCTTATCTTAATATACGAATGAGAATAAAAATGAAATGAGCTCAGGGAAGTGAAAGTAGAAAATACAAAGTAAATACATAGCGAGTGTTAGAAACAAACGCTTTCTGACACTCTGAAGAGATATGGGCTTACCAACTTGAATAGACTGTTCATGTGCAAAATCTTTCAAGATATCTAGCAAACGCAAGCGACTATCCTTCTGACTGTGACTAGATGGCTTTTCGTGTTTCGATGTTTTCTGAGACTGAGTGTATCTAAAAAAAGGACACAATGTTTACAAAATGTGGTGTTTTACACAAAGTGGATTTTTAAGAGTTGAATAGAATCTGTATTTTTTTAAAATACTACTACAATCTAACTAAAGCAAGTGGAATTAAGCTCCGTGATGTACAAAGCAACTAGACCTTCTCAGAATGTGTGTCTGAAGGGAATTGATATATATTTCAGTCATTCCACAGTTAAGTACAGAGATTGAATTCTATTTTTATATTTTCCTACTAACCCTATAACTACACACCCCTTTCCAACTTCTATACATCCTATAAACTACTCTGTATATGATATTATTTGTTTTTTCACTTGACACTTGATTTTTTTTGGTTTTTTTCCTTCACGTTCCCCAGTGGAACATAGGGCTTCAAGCCAGTGGCTAACCTAACCGCTGTACCACCGACGCACTACCTTGATATTTTAGCTATGATTATAATCACAAACATTTTAATTGCATCTCATACCACACACCTTTGTTTAAATTACATCAAGGCATACAATTTCTTCAAACAAAAAAACAACCCAAACATATACGACAGTATAGCTTGATAATAAATTCATTGAAAAGAGTCTCTCCGCTGAACATTGTGTTCTTAATACTACAGTGCGAATTATTGAATTACTGAAAACAAACAGAGAGATGCTTAGGAAGCAGATGCCTAAGAAACAGAGATTGGACATTAGTATAGTTTTGAGAAAACTAGGAATTTAGTCCTATTTGGCTGCGCTGTTTACCTTGATGGCGTTTTGAAAAGTCGATTGAGTATAATTATAGGCGTCGGTGGAATAGCGGTTCGATCCTCAGCCGACGCACTCCTTTACCTCGCTAAGCCAGTAAAAAGACTGGTAAAGAGGGAAGGTTGGGCATGAGACCAACAACCCCATCCCATAAAAAATAAACATCACTACTACCGAAACTTCAGGCCTCTAGTTTGAAGCCCTATGTTCCATTGGGAACGTTAAGAAATTTAAAAAAATAGGCGAAGCAATAGATAACCTCTGTTTTTACATATGAATAATTTCTTATCAATATCAGGAGTGGATTATTCCCTTCCTCAGCTCAATTTATACACTAATACACACCTGAAAGTACTATTTTGTGCCAAAATCAGTAGAACACTAATTAATTCTTTAAAGCATGTAAAATCTGAAAATGAATGATACACGCTGGTGAAAAATTCTAATCCAAGAATGAACAACTATTCAAAACAGTCTAGTATGCTTCCGCTCCAATCCAAATGATAATGTTACTTGATAAAATTAAACACATGATTGACAGAATTTACTTAGAACTAAATAAAGACAAGGTTCATGACATTGTTTTATACCCTAGTGAGCAACGAATAATAATAAGTTAACTTAGAATTCAAGGGCCATTGGATCGGGTCCCAGTGGTTCAATGGTCTACCAGCTCACCTTGTAACCAGAAGGTCCTGGGTTCAAACCCCTGTGGGTGAGTACTGATGAAGAGTCCCAAACTAGGACGAAACAACCGTCCAGTATTCCCAGGTTTTTCAGTGGTTCTCTAACTGACGTCAGCTCATGATGAAATCCCCCAACCAATAATAATAATGTGATTCTATGTTTAAAAAAAAACATTTATTATTACAATTATTCATTTCAAAACAATTCAATTAAATAAAAATTTGAAGCTTACAATTGTCGAAATTGGTAACGAAGTATTTCATCGCCATGATACAACACAATACGTGCAGCTTTTACTCCAGGTTTTAAAGTGATAGAAATACTCTGTATAGATTTAAACAATAATACAATTCCAGATTTCAACAGTTGTATAATAAGGTTTTTAAGCAAAGATAACTAAAGTCAATCTGAAACTCTGAGACATTAAGGTTAGTTGGTTAAAAATGAGTACGACAATGCATCTCACACACTCTGAAAACATTAAAGCCCTAGGCATTCGGTTGGAAGAATCAGCATTATGCATACAAAAGAAAATTATTCAACCACTTCTACTATCATGGTAACAACTCTGTTGATTTGACTTGACTTTTGCTTGTATGCTTATTTTTCTAATTACTTAAAACTTTTGCGTAATTCCGTATGTTATTTTGTTTCCATATACACACTGAGCACAACGTAACTCTTCTTTAACAATTGTTTGTGACAACTCATCACTTTTGTTACTACCCTCTTATATCAACATCCAATTCATCTGAACGCCTTTTGTATTACATAACTCCACCAAAAACTTACTAATTGTATTTTTGTTTGACAAATTTAATATACACACACACATACAAAACTACCATATATATTTGCGATTTTACAGCTACGACAATGAATTCGCCGCCGAAAACAGACTCTTCGATGAATTACTAGTTTTCTGTGTATCAATGTTCGAATTGGGATTTTTCATGAATATTTTGTTTTGACAACGCGATTGCAAGGTGTAGTGATTAGATGAAAATGTTTTCGAAAAATTCTACGGAACAATCAATCAATACCATTTATTTAATGTAGTGCAGGCAATTCAACGAAATACATCTCTGAGATCCACACAACTGCTTTCACTGCCTAACGAAGTGACTATCATTAAAACATTTTCCCAACTATTCATTCACAGGCAGCAAACAACCAACCAATCCCCGATGTCAGCTCATAATGAAATCCTGTAACCAATCAATCAAATCCCTACAAACCAATAATTGGGAATCAGTGAGATGCTCACTAGCGACTGGCTCTATTCAGGTAGGTAGTTACATGGGGTTCTAGTGGGAAGTCGTAACCAGTAGGGTACAGCAGGTCAGGCGTGAGGACAAATACTCGCCAATGACATTCGCTAGTGGTCGCGCAATACCGTGAATTGATAGAAGTTGTAATTCACGGATCATTGGATCAGGTCCCAGAGGCTTAATGGTTTACGAGCTCGCCTTGTAACCAGAGGGTCCTAGGTTCGAACTTCAGTGGGTGCGTACTGATGGGGAGTCCCAAAATAGGACAACACAGCTGGCCTTCCAGTACTACCTGCAGGTTTTCCAATGGTCCTCTAATCCATGTCAGTTTATGATGAAATCCTGTAAGTAATCCCTAGTAAATGATCAATCATCTTAATGAAAGCGGTGAAATGTCATTAAAAAAGACAACATACCTCAGATTGTTTTGATCCAATCACCAAATTTTCCGGATCAACTACTATCCCGTTATCAGAAAACTCATTACAATCTTTTTGATCATCAGATTTCTGATCCAAACATTCCACACGTGCACAAACCCATGCAGATCTTGCACCAAAATTGCTGACAGTGATTCTCGCCAAACAACATCCGGATAAATTTGAAGTTAAACAGCTTTTTGGAGATTGAAGACTTGTTCTTTCAATCTTCTTATCAATCATCTCACAAATAGGATCGACTTTCGATGCTACAGTCCAATAAACATTAGAACTTAACTTTGAACAACAATAATACACTAACTGGCTGGAATTTGTATATCCGATTAGTCTCACCTAAAACAGAAATAGGCAGTAATAGAGTTGATTTAAAATCCAAACCTGTCGAAACTGAGAATCAAATTTATCTGATACAACTATCTGAATTATTAACAAAACCTCTGAAGAGAAAGAGAAAGCAAATCAATACACATGATGAACGGATATGCATTTGTAATAATAGGTTGTAGAAACTTTGATACAGACCGAGTGTTCTCATCGATTTGTTCCTACTGTGTAAATAATCGCGTTAGCCAATTTTTATCATATTTAATGTGAAGGGGCAATAAATCAATGCTCACTTTCAACCTACAGGCTTTACAATCGTGTTCCGAATTCTCATGGATGACAGGTAGTTTATCCACCAACATGTCTATCACAACTGTCTCCCTGGGAAACAGAACTTCATGTTTTTATGATGGTTAGGTAAAAAAAAAAGAACTAATGTACCGAGGGACTATAAAGTAAGTAAAACATTCAATAATCATTTCAATTAAATAATTTTCTTCACAGATTTTTTATTAAAAACGACTCTGCATATTAAAAAGAAAGAAATTTTGATAGACTGCTTGAAGATGCATCAAGACACAAATACGACATAAGTGATAAAATGAATTACACCATCAATTTTTGGCTATTTAAGGGTGAATTTAGCATCCCTTTGAGACTGATAGTAAAAACTATAAAATATCTCTTAGATATACTACAACTCTCGAATACAGAAATTCAAATATTTTCACCACGAATTTTTCTTCTTTATTCCTTTACATTCCCAGTGGAACATAGGCCTTCAAGCAAGAACTTTGGAGTTTCGATATTAGTGATGTTTTATTTTTACGGGGTGGGGTTGCTAGCCTCATACCCAACTTTCCCTCTTTACCGGTCTTATTACCTACCAGCTTAGTGAGGTAAAGGAGTACATCGGCCGAGGATCGAACCATGGACCACATGCGTGGTTGGCGAGCTTCTACCGCTGAGCCATCGACGCACTTTCCCTATTTTAGATTTGATTAATTGCTTTAAACTTTTAATGAACGATGATTCATACAACGAAATTACAAACAGCATGAATTTCCAAAATGTAATGGACATTGCAAGATATCCACAAAGATGAAGAGAGATTAACAGCGTCACTTTATGAGTGTCACCGGTGTGTTTACATTATGTCCGTGTGCGTGTGTTTTTTTTAATTCCTTCACGCTCCCAGTGGAACATAGGGCTTCAAGCTAACGGCTTGAAGTTTCTGTAGCAGTGTTTATTTTTACAGGGTGGGGTTGATAGCCTCATGCCCAACCTTTCCTCTTTACCAGCTTTTTATTTTTATTACTGGTTTACCGAGGTAAAGAAGTGCATCGGCCGGGGATCGAACCCCGGACCATGTGCATGGTCGGCGAGCGTCCTAACCGCTCTGCCACTGACGCATGCGTGTGTAGAAGGCAAGAAATAAGTCTGCTAGAGTAGATACAACTCAGTTGCATGAAAATGAGTGAAACAATTACAGTTTAGCCGCAATACGGATGACAGTGTAATCTGAAGTTATGTAGACAAACAACTGTCCAAATTACACAATAAAGAATATTAGATAGCTTACAATATAGGGAACATGATTACTAATGCACGAAATAGCTGTAAAATTTACTATGATCAAATAGGATATCATTCAGACGATCAGCAAAGCTTACAAATGACTTGCATACAAAAGAATTTTCGAGTCAACTTCCAGATTTAAAGCGCAGTTTTTATTTAGCGTACTAATTACTAACTAGTTGTGAAACACGAGTGATAATACAGTAAACAATTTTATGCGTTCAAACTGCAAAGATACCTATAATAGCCATTTGCGTATTTTAGGTCGACTTTTAACACCACCTTCTACACAAGAAATCCAACAAGTCGAATGAAGTCTTGACATACTCAAGTCTACACGAAAAGTTACCGCTATCATACTAGCTGTAGAGATGTGGCTTAAGTACTCAGCTCTTAGCCTATGCGCTAGGGGTTGGAGTCCCGGTCTACCTATATCAGACTGGGCAAATGGGTAGAATATCGCCAGCCTACACATGATAGTTGTGGCTCTTAACCTGGGATACAGAAAATCTATTCCGCATAGTTGACTTCAAAAAAGACATTATGCTAACTAGTTGGTGGCACAGAGGTAGAATGCTCGCCAAACATGCAGGTGGTTCGGGGTTCCATCCCCGGCCGATGTACTCCTTTACCTCTCTAAGCCAGTAATAAGACTGGTAACGAGAGAAGGTTGGGCATAAGGCTAGCAACCCCATCCCATAAAAAATAAATACGACTGCTAACGAAACTTCAAGCCTCTAGTTTGAAGCCCTATGTTCCACTGGGAACGTAAAGGAATAAAAATAGTTGGTTGTAGGCAATCAACGAGAAACCATGTACTGAAAATTCGTAAGTACTAGAAACTGTCAGCTGTATATTACTCCTTCGACAAAATCTTTCCCAACTTTTTGCAGCTGGTTAGCCTCCTCTAATGCTGCAGGAAGAAACTTTACACCAGAAACTGAGGTTTTACTATACTTATAAAATAACATCACAACACTAATCGTACAACGAAAACCCTACATGAAATATAATTGGATAACGAATCACATTTCAATTAAACAATACAAAACCTTGACGTCGTTTTGCTTAAGCACACAAACAACCAACATTATATAGTATTAATGAGTGCAGTGTTATATTAACCCTTTTAAAACAGAAAGCTTACCTTTGATGTACGGGTCAGTGTTTCATCCTCTAAACGAAACAATAAATTCGCGAAATCCCAAGAAACTGGATGCTTGCCTACATAGGCGACATTAACTTCATATTCAAGATTCGGTGGTAAATGTACACGAAACATCCCCGTAATAAGATAACCATTCTCATCAACAAGCTTAATGCCAAAAGAAAGCAGAAAAAATCCAATTTTTACAATAGCAAAAAGCCTACAGCACAGGGTGATTTTTCTGAACAAGTTATTAACTGGACAAAATCAGAATTCATATAATTTCGGTTACAATGTAATGTGCTCATATTCAACCACAGGAGTTTTGAACTTTATGGAAGGTGAGAACACGAAAGATAACAAAACATAGAACTTTACTGATTACAGTCCCATAGAGCGCAATATACAATATGGTTATTATTTGAGCCACATATTATAAATATAACTGAAATTATAAGAAAAATGTAGACATACACAGATACTCTAACCATATAAGTTTCAGCACCACTATGAACAACATTACTCACTGGCAAACACGTATTTCCAGATGACGTGCCTTGAATACGACGAAATACTCACCCCTTATTACAATACCAGTCACCTCTAAAGATGAGCAAGTATGTGTCACTATTCATTTCTCAGTCTGTAGACGTAACTAACTGACATCTTCATATGTAATGATTGAAATTTAGGCAGGAACCTTCATTGAGACAGCATCTGAAACAAGTATTTTTTCGACCTCAATCAATGCAAGTCTACAAAATGGAGTTATCTCTTGCAGTCTTAACAAAAATTTATCTGCTTTTCAAGACTACATGAAAAGCTTACCATTCATATACAAATTAATAGTATAAAACAAGTCATCAAAATGTTATCGTCTATCCTGCCTTGATCAAGCGTTGCACTCATGATCATGGTAATCGGATTAACGTGCAGTAATGTTGCAACAAGCTATAAAAGTTGAGAGCGTTGTTTCTGTAGGCTTAATAATGTCAGAAAGGTAGGATGGATTCCGGTAAAGCTTTAAGCAGCTATCATAAAAGTAGTATAAGTAACTTCCACTAATCAAATCAACAAGGAACACATATAGATTACGTATACTACTAGTCATAGATGACAAAGGTGGTGAAGGACGACTACCTCTTCTTCTAAAATGCACGCATGAATACTGACTATGCGTTAGATCACGCAACTAAACATCTGAGACTGACTCAATGAAGAAGATAAACACGCCTTGCATCCTAACATGAAGAGATTAGGTTTAAATTCAGAGAGAAGTTGACTAAGCATGATAGTGATAATCCTCATCAGGAGGACGAACATCGCATTTAGTCTGTTGTGGAAACAGCAGTGAAGACAGTTGATAAAGCAGTAAGAGAATAGGGGATTTCACCGAAAGTGTTAGATGCTAGAAGACTGATTCCAGTTGCCTCCAAACACGTGTAGCAACGAAAAATGTTTATACATAAACTGATTGAAAGTCTCCATAACAACGGTCAGAAATGGTAGGTGGAGAAAAGAAAAGCGCAGGAAAAGACATCAGCAATATTTGTCAAGCACTTTGGCAAATAGGTTCTAAAAAACTGTTGATAGTGAAAAATGTCATAGAAAGGTGAAAACGTTAAAAGCCTAGTAGGACAGAAGATATAGTCACTAAACAGAATATTTTGATGAGCGGTTCAGTCGACCGATAGCTTCACAGCAACTGATTATTGCTTGACCTCAAACTATACACGAAGTAGCGAAAATTGACTCCAGAGTAAAAAGATACATTTAAGAAGACCTGATAGTTTGAGTCCAGAGGTGTTTATGGATGACGACGAGGCAAAGTTCAACAATAGAGTCCCAAGGGATGCAGACGCACGAGTGACCTTCAACTGGCCAGTCATAAACATAGGTGACTTTTGTTCAAAAAATGGCGTATATTTACAAGAAAATGCAGGAAAACACATTAAACAGGGTATCTTTCTCTGACATGACTTAAAAATACGTCCCAGTTATAGTGAGGAGTATCAATTGCTAAGTTAGGCTAGTTTCTGTACATGTATTCACCAAGGTGACTAAAGATGAGCTGTTTTTGTGAATTGTTTATCTCTCTTATCCTGTTGTACAGTCTTCTCCAAAAGCCCTCGGTTGAATTATTATGGTTTCCAGTAAGAGGGTCGACGACTACTTACCAGGAAAATGTGGATAACCTCAATCCTAATCCTAATTATAATCCTTATCCAAACCGTAATTCTAACCCTAACCCTAACCCCAATACTTACCTTAACCATAATCCTAACCCTAACGAGCTATTAACGCATTGTCCAAACAGTACTTAAAAACGTGATCTGAGTGAAATTTGCTGCTTAGTTGGTGAACAGCATTTATATTTCCGCTATGATAATGACAGGTGCCGTCAACCAACGACTAGCATGCGTTCAAGGTCATTAGAGCGTTTGCACTCCTGGGACGCTATTGTTGAACTTCGCCGACGACGATACATAATTGGCTAGATTTACTAAAATTCCTAACTACTGTATGAGAATCCTTAGTAGTTCTATCAGACTAGTGATTGTTATTATTATTATTATTATTATTATTATTAATGCTCCCTTGGGTTCCTAGTGGAACATAGGGCTTCAACTGCAAGTCTCCTACTTCTTTCTGTCTTCTGCTGTACTTTTCACCTGCATCCATGTAAGTCGATAGTGTTTCAACTCCTCTGCACACGATCTCTTCCATGTCACCCTTGGACGTCCCACTCGCCGCTTCCCTTTCGGGTTCCACTCGAGCACTGGCCTGACGCGCGATGTCACCCAGCGGCCTCCTCAACGAGTGTCCAATCCATCTCCACTTTCTCCTGCATATTTGTTTAGCGATTGGTTCTTGTTTTGTCTGTTCCATAGTTTCTTGTTGGTGATTCTTTCCGGCCATCTGATCTTCAGTATAGAACGAAGACAGCTGTTTATAAAGGTCTGCAACGGGCTGTTGGAAATATTCTTTGTGACCCGCCAAGTTTCTGATCCGTATAGCAAAACTGACTTGACGTTTGTATTGAAAATCCGAATTTTGTTGTTGATGCTGAGTGACGAAGATTTCCAGATTGGTTTCAGGTTGATGAATGTGTTTCTCGCCTTCCCGATTCTCAATTTGACATCCTCGTTCGTTCCTCCTGTAGTTGAGACAATGCTCGCTAGATAAGTGAATGAAGTAACCTCTTTCAAATCCATCCCGTTGAGGGTGATTGGCGCTGGATGTTGCTGCTGTTGTTGGTTGGTTATTTTCATAACCTCCGTCTTGTCTATGTTCACCTGGAGTCCTGTCTTTGCTGCTTCTTCGACCAGTTTGTCGCAGTATCAGACTAGTGATACATGTGCTTTATTGCAGTATCATCACATTTCTGTTTTGGAGTCTAGCAACTTGTGTCAGTGTAATTCCCTGAAAGGTTCTATGTTAATCTGGCTATACACTTATCCAATGCAAAGACTATTTCGAAAAGTGATTTTACCTAGTGGGAAATTACCCTTTAGTGAAATATAAAAGATACTCACTTTGAAAACTTCGGATTTAGGACGAATAGCAAATGACAATGTGACCGGTTTATCCATTTTATGTTTAATGAGGAAACTCTTTCGCCTTAAAAAAAATAAAAGTAAATAATAGGTATTTATTTATTACTTTGATATTACTATAATAGTTTCAAATGTATTGTAAACTTAATTCATCTATTAGTGACTTGATCAATAGATATTTAATTACAAAACTGCATTTTAACCATAACAATTTTTAAATAGCAATTGTGAAATAGATGCGGCTGAAAATGCCACAGTGAAAAAGACACTCCATAGCCAATTGAACTAAGTAAAAGGAAAGTTGTTATACATTCAAGACACTTATTATACACATCCATTCCTTTGGTTTCATTACGATATAACTAAATGTTCATTCAATTGAGATAAAATTTAAAGTATTATGGAATGGTGGACAGACGCTAAATATCTTCACCTGGTACACCATGCCACACAGTATCACCAGGTGGTACATCTTTTCTAACTCTTGAATTCCTCACGCAGTAATAACACTAACAACAACTTGCTCCATAAAGGCGGTGGTAGCAAAATTATTTGTACACACGTATGCTTAATATCAGACCGTGGATTGCATAATCAAACTCAGTAGGCACCTATGTATCTCGCTTGCACCGTAAATATCGTGAATAAATACATGCAACGCTTTTCAGTGGAAATCACTCCAATAGACAATTTTTGCCTCTGTCCGACCTCCATTCTGTAAGTAGTTTTACATCTACAGACAATCAAAGTCAAGTTAAAAGTCGTTTTATCCATTGCCTGCTTACCGTGAAGCATTCAAATTTTTTGTTTGAGTGAGAAACATTCCTGCTGAAAACTGAACCAACTAATAACACAGTTTCTGGGTAAGTCTGAAGATATCATCGTCTGACTTCTTAGAAAAGATTATCACATAAGAACCAAAAGGTCGACTTAACACATATATAACGCTACTTTCTTACTTTTTTCTGCACAAAGGAATAAATTTGAATGTAATCAGGGAGCACTATGATAACTAATGACAAAGACTAACGACGGAGTAGCTTTATTGAAAACCCCCGCAAACTATAGCTTTGTAGCACGTGAAGTGAAGCCAATGCAGGAGTAAGACAAGGCTAACTGTTATCACCGATGATATTCCTAATTGTGGTGGACTCGATTATGCGTAACATTATAGGTAGTGAGAAGATAGGAGTAATTTGGACCGATAAGAAGACTCTAGAAGATCTGGATCTCGCCAATGGTCGATGTTTAATGTCACACAGACTTGAAGACTTGGAGTCGAAAACCAACAAACTGGCTGATGAGACGAGACAGACAGCGAAGACAGGACTTCAGGTGAACATAGAGAAAACGAAAGCGATGCAGACAACCAACCTACCAACCAACACCAATAACAAGCAGCACCAATCACTATCAACGGAAGAAATATACATAAGGTTACTTCCTTCACTTATCTAGGAAGTATCGTTTCAAACACAGGCGGACAACAAGGATGAAGATGTCAACACCAGCCAGAATCGGAAGGAAAAGACACGCCTTCATCAATCTGAAACCAGTTTAGAGATCTTCTACACTCCCCTCAGCATCATAAAGAACAAGATTCAGATTTTCACCACAAATGTTAAGTCAGTCATCGCCTCAATCTGGGTCAGAAAGTTGGTGTGCGCGTCACCAAAAGCAATTCCAATAGACCACTGCATACTTTTGACAACAGCTGCCACCTTCGCTAGCTGCATATTGAAGATCGAATGGCCAGGGGACCAGAAAGAATTAACAACAGGAAAGTCTGGCTGGCAACAAATTAACCAAGAGCCCATTGCTCAACAAATATGGAGAAGATAATGGAGGTAGACGACAAGGAGGCCATCGAGTGACACAGCGAGCAGTGCAGGCCATCGCTCGAGTGGAATCCAAATGGGAGACGACGAATGGGCCACCTGAAGGTTACATGAAGGAGCTTGTGCGAGGAAGAGACGACAGACTATGGGTAATTGTGGACCCAGGTGGAGAGGACCGCAGAAAAAAGGACAAAGTGGAGATGTGCTGTTAAAGTCTTATGTTCCATTAGGAACTCAAGGGAACAACTTTAGTAATTTGATGATATTAATTATTATTACTATTATTTTAGTAAATTGCTGTGGTGGTTTAATGGTAAGTTATATTTTTTGTATGCTTTCTAAATGAAATTTTGCATTAAAATTTTTTTTCTGGCGTACATATTATCGGTGGCATTATATTCTTGAACTGCGTTACATTTGCTGCACTTTTAGCAAAAACATCGCTTGATACTGGTATCTGCGCAATGTAGTGGGTTAAACGATGCAGTAAGATCAGAAGATAAACGCATATTTTTGGAATTTCATGAAATCATGCTGGTATATATTTTGGCCTATTTATTCAAACGCCCTAATACCCACCATCGTATAAAGGTGGCGTTTCCTCGAAAAAGGGATATTTCCATATAATCGCCTTCAATGATGCATTCTAGTTATACCAAACTTATGTTGAGACGGAATTTTCTAAATAACAACAAAAATATACAACCTATAATTATTAAATCTATAAATTATGGGGAAAAACCACAAAGAAATACTCCACACACTACTGTAATTAGTTCAACTGAATATTCACTTACTGCATTTGTCCACAAACAGCTCCAGCCCATATTAAACAGTCAGTATTTGAAAGAATAGGAATTTTTTGAGCCTTAGACATTTCTGAAGAGACAGCATCTTTCTGAGGTGTTATAGACACTTTATTAATCGATAAATTTTCATGTCCAACTTTTGGTAGATATCTAATAGGTGAATCGGTGGATTCATTTGAACGAAGAGAATTCGAATGTTGAGAGTGTTTTCTGTTGACGCTTAGATTTTCTTTCTCAGAACAGATCATATCATCATTAGCAGGTGGTACATTCTCTTTTCCCCCATCGACCTAAATATAAACATCAGGCAATAAATAAATCCACTATTTTGCAACAACAAATATGCATACATGAAAAATATGAGCATGTGGATTTCTACTGACTTATGTACCTGCTTTTCTGACTCCTTTTAACTCTTGTATTCCTTTACCACTCTTATACCATTCCATATTTTCCTGCGTTTCTATTTACATCCTAATCAAAACCCATTCACCATTAATTTATTCACCTTATTACGTAACTACACAATACACTTATTCAACTTCTCTTATGCAGTGACTACTATTAACAACTATTCTTTGACAACTCATCACCACTACTCTCTTAACAATCTTTACCGCCCCCCCCCCCGTAGTTACAATTTGATTATTCATCACATTTTTTTGAAATATTTCGATGACATAAACAACAACCCTAGCTAATTTTTACTCTTGTCCGACAAACCTAATGTATATACACATGCACATACACATGGAAGAAGAGGATATCTACTGCTCTCAGAAGGACATTCTTCGCTGCCACACTACGACTGACATTTTCCTCCCGGCCATTGTTCTTCAACTACTCTAAAGATAAACTATCGCATTTGACCACTTCCATGTGTATCTACCAATTCACCTGCTCTTGCGGAGCGAGGTATATAGGTCGTTCGATGCGAGTTTTATCTAAAAGAGTTCAAGAACACTATCCCGCCTGGCTACGGAAAGGTAACAACGGAGCAATAAGGAGCGCCATTATTGAGCATATACTCAACACTGGTCATTCGATTTGCAAGAAGTCGTTTAAAGTCATCTATAAAGTCAAAAGAAGCCTTCCAAAATCGACAAGCTTCCGTATACTTTGTATTGCCGAAGCCTTAGCGATTTGGATAGAAAAGCCTGATTTATGCACACAGAAGAAACTTCTCCACCCCCTCCTACGAAGCAGCTGTTCAGTACTCCCAGGTTTTCCAATGGTTCTCTAACCGATGTTAGCTCATGATGAAATCCTGTAAACAATCAACCAAATCCCTACAAACCAATACTTGAATAGCAGTGGTAATTATTTTTACGGGATGGGGATTATTCATGAATTCAAATATGAGCATTTTAATTCATTTCTTTTTCTGCAGATGAATAGCAAATGATGCGTAGGAACAATGTCAAACAGAGTTATAATTTAGTTAGTTACAGCCTGCAAAACTTGACAGTAGAGTTCCTGGCCTTAGCATTAAATGATACGAATCCTTATCTGCAAGGCAAAATTGCCGTTATGTTATGCCTTAACGATGAGTATTGATCATCATAAGATCAAGGTTTAGTGTTTTCCGGCTACTGAGAGCACATATTTAAAACCAGTCTCTTAAGATCAACACAAAATTCATTACGAAATCAAAACCATATAGAAAATTCTATCGGAATGGGAAGAAAATCGCAGAGAATCTGCAATCCAATTCAAACAACTACTTCACCCTATCAATTAGATAGACGCAGCTATGCGTGAATTTCAGATATGCATGTTTTGTATGACAATCCGCATACTGTTAAAATTAAATTACTTCGATTAGGAGGGTATTTTTTAAAGTCTGGTAAACATTGGTATTACTTTAGAGCACATGTAACAGCTTTGCGAGTTGCAAGAGTCAACATTCTGCCACGCAACCACTTAAAAAATCTGCACGAAACCCTATGGAAAAAGCATATTATCTATGTACAGCTGGCTTACCTTGGATGAAGGAAAATTTGGTTGTTTCCCCTCTGAACTGTAAATAATCTTATTAGAACCAATTGTATTACTAACAGCAGGTTTTAGTGCTTATCTGACAGCAGCCACTTGTTTAGTAAACTGTGAACATACTTTATTGTACTGAGTTGCTGGTTCACAAGTTTTAGACTGCTTACCTAGAGCAGTTATCATATCCAGTAAACCATCAATATCAGACACGTGTAAACAGCTAATGTCGATTTTTGACATATCCAGATTTCCTAATATTGTATCGTCAGCCTCCATAGCATTATCAACTTTCTGGATATCATGTGAAGCATTTTCAGATAAGTCGTGTTTTGAAATCTGCTCTTGAGGAGCTTGAGAAATATTATTTGCATCAGCTGAATTAGCAAGATGACTGTTTGTATGGCTTAGGAGTTGTCTATTTACATCATTTACTGATGACAGCGATGCAGAAATATTTGCATTCAAATTAGTAGTTGGTTTAGGCAATTCAGGTGGTACACAATTATCTGACTAAAATTTTTAAAGAGATTTAAAAGAACATTTAAAAAGTGAATAAACATCACAATAGATTATAGTACTATTGGTTAATTATTTTTAAATGACTCATAGATTTTATTAACTAAAGGAAATGCTGGACAGCTGTGTTCGCTGATTGAACCTGAGGTTCATCAGGTACGTCCAGACAAGCTCAGATCACCAGATAATCGAATACTGAAAGTTATACGAATCTAATCGGCCAACTTGAATGCATCAGTTGTCATTAGATGAAGGCACAGATAGCATATACATAGAAATTCTCTTCACAACGAAAATCCTTATGGAATTATGGTTACACAATTCAAGAAATTACTGGCTATGAAAAATGCCAAAATCTAATGAAGAATTTATAAACAGTCTGAGAATCACCTAGCATACTTCATTGTCTTTTTTTCAACGATAATTTTAATCACTGTATAAAATAATCAGATGCCAGTAAGTATTCATTAGAAATACAATACGAATGAATTATAAGGAGATAAGTTTTAATGTCGTAAAGTTTTCATTGATAATAGTAGTCAATTACAACGACATTATATGATTATAACACCACGAAGATAAGCACCTATTTCCTAATGATCAAAGAAATCCCACCTATTGTAATTAATCGACTCTTAGCGCATTCAAATCAGTCAAAATGCGTTAACAGCGCTTTAAGAACCTAAAATTAAAAATTTAATTGGTGGATGGTGACTAGCAGTGGAATCCAGGATGCACATTTTGTCCCATTTGGGACTCGTCATCTGGATGTACTTGCATTCACCCAGTGAGTGATGATGTTCCCACCAAAGCATCCAGTGACGGGTCCCAAAAAGGACAAAATGCTCATCCTGGATTTCACTGCTAGTCACCATCCAACAATTAAATTTTAATTACATGCCCAGACATCGTCGAAGCATCTGCACAAGAAGCCAACATGTCAACCTGAGACTAAGCACTTCGGTCCAGTCAATCAATGGGAAAATCTAAAATTCAATTAAAGCTTAAATTATTTATCAATACACTGTGCGGATTGTAAATAGTCCCAATAACAAACTATTCACCTTAGTGGATTCAAACAAGTGAAACATCTTAACTGGTATATGAATTTTATTTCCTAAATAAACATCTATCTAAGTTACTACAATTTACGTGGAAGGTAGTCAGTCGATCGGCTAACCTGAGTTTAAGTGTGCTCAGAAGAAAACGAAGCAGAAAATACACTACACGAAAAATAACTCCCTTTTAGGCGGAAAAATCACACAGATATAAAGTCCAATGCTACTGACTTTGCTGCTCCTCTGTCGAGTAAGTAAGCTATTGGTCAGTCATTAATAATACCCTCGTTTTGAAGTTTCGAAAAATAGTAATAATTCTTAAAAGTTTACTTGAAGTCCACTTTTTTTTACTGTAATCACTTCCTAGTTTTATGAAGTATATCCATATTACCATTTTTACCGAATAACCTTGTTTTCGTCAATCAGGAAGTTAAATCGAAATATCAAAAAGTAAGAAAAACACTTAAACAGCATACTTTGTTGCCGAATGAATTACTCTCAAGAGCAGATGATAAGCCAGTAAGACATGGTAGGTGTGAATATAGTTTGACGCGAGATCTTATTAGTGACTGATCAACTCCCTTAGTCTGTGAGCTTAACTGCTTGTCAATAGTATTGTCTGGATGACCTTCTGAAACTTGAGTAGAAGGTCCAGTAGCCTGTGAATGCAAAATAAGAAAAGAGATAGCCAAACGAACGATGAGAAAAGAAATTTAGGTTTTAGTGATGGATGCACTTTCATGGTATAATCCAAAACATATATGTTAGCCAAGTGACATATACAATGCGAATAAAATACAGAGAACATATAGACGGGGTTTTGAAACTACTAGTCTAGGTAGCTAAGTTTCATATCAATCAATGAAAATGAATTCAATAAGAGAGGGGACATTCCAAAACGGCAGTATATGTATTCTAAATAAGTAGAATACTAATTATAAACTAGAAGCGTTGAAATTTCACCTTTAAGGAAAGTTACCTTCATTCTTTACAATTAATTTACCAAACTAAACCAAGAAACAATACACGTGAGAAATAGATCAGCCCCCTCGTAACCTTGTGAAATATCTTTATTATTAGAAACTGGCAGCAAGATTTTCAATTAAAAATGTTCGGAAAATGTTAGTATGTCAAAGCGCTTGGTAATAAGATATATGCATTATATGACAGCTGATAGTAGCAGTCTGCTCAACTCTTAGTCGGTGAAGCTGGATTCTAACCCGTGACCCACCTAAATAAATGTTGAGTAAATAATCTTATGAACTACAAGTGTAGAAAAAGCAACAAATTACTTAGTACATATGAATTTATGATCAAAAACACTTAAGAACAGATGTATCAAGTAAAATTAACTCGCTTACCGGGCAAGCAACATGTGGTTGTGCGGGATCTTGTGCTTCAACATCAACAATACTACCATCGGCTTCACCACTGCCCTCGGCTGACTGTAAAGAAGGAACTGATGTTGTATTGCCTTCCGAACACTCTTCCCCCGTCGCCGATGGTTTGCATGATACTCGACGAGCAAATGTTTCACACGCGCGAGTTGGGATAGTTGTTTCTGATGTATCACAGTCGAAATCACTAATGGCATCTTCTAACATTTTTAGCTCTTCGTCATCGAACTGAATTTTCTGTTGCTCTGTTTCAATATCCGCAGAAGGGGGCTGACAGTATTCAACATTAAAGGTATCCAGTTGCTTAATTTGGTTCTTTTCACCTGACGAAAAATTAATAGAATAAATGTGAATACTTGAAATAGAAATGACGAAGCAGACACAAAGAATACTTTAAACTAGACTTACTTAACTTTTTCGTAATCACTTCGTGCAAGCTGCGATCTAAAACACTATCTGAAAGACCTAAAAACATTCCGAAATAAACGTTAAACACCTACCCTTTATTGCATCAATGTTTAAAATGCTAGTTTCTTTATTGCCTTCATCTTGAATATTACGATTTTGATGGTTTTTACTGCCTTCAATAACATAAGTATGTTTTAGGAAGGCTGGTGAAGTTGGTAGGATTTCATCGAAGTAGGCCCGACCATTTCTGTTGTAAGCTGAATATTTACTGTTGCCAGCAGTTGAATGTGCAACTGGGACAGGAGTCCCTAAAACTGTCTCATTCCCGACATTAGCTGACACGCCTCCCTTGTACATAAATGCAGAGGACTCAGCTGACATACCTAAAAAACCATTCGGAAACATACATTCATTTGCATAAAAACTACACTATAAAGCCAGTCATACAATGACCGAAAAAAGCAAAGCTATATTGTATTATGGTTAGAAACCACTGTTATGTAAATGAAACACGGTGGACTATCATATTACAGAAAATTAACAACAATCATAGTAATACAGTTTATTCGTCTTGGTGGTACATGACAAGGTTATTTCAGAAACAATTGTTAAAAATATGCAGCAAAAGGAGTGAGAATATACGTTATAGAGTGTTATATCTTACGCGCTTAAGGGCTTTCTCAGCTTTGATTGGCTAGTACAGTGGCGGAGAGTTTGACATTAAATTTGTCCTCGGTAGGTCATGCCGTGTGCAGGTTTGCGTGGTTGCGGCATGCGTTGTTTGCAAGCATGTTTGATGAATATAAATGTAAAATGTTGGTATTCTAACGTTTTCTTTTACTTATTTTGTGCATGTACCAGGCTTGGTTTATCATACACTCGGTTTGTTGGCCTATCGGTTGCTGGCGATGTCAAGGAATCCGTGAGTTCTAGGGCTTTTCTCGATTTTAGGTTATACATGTAGCATTTTATTGATGGATATTGCGACACAGATGGATGCTAATTGACAACGCCTTTTTAGTTTATTGCAGGTAGGCAATGCGGGTGAAAGTACTGCTGACGTTAGTGGAATTTTCGATGAAATTATGCTGGGAAGGCGTTTCTTTAGTTGGGAGGAATTTGAGAATTCCTTAGGAGAATTTCAACAAGTGAGGAAGTCATTTAATGCTAACAATGTAGTTGTCCTGCACTCACTATGTGCATATTCAAAGCAAAACAACAGGGGACGACAGATATAAGTACGCTAACGTTTATTTTAAATGCACTTTTGGCGTGAACCGTGGAAAAGCTGGCCTGAAATTGCGAAACAAGTCGTAAGATGAATTGTATTATGATAATATGTATGTTTAAGGTCTAAATGTTGCAACTGTCTGTCTGCATTTCGCGTAATTTTGCGTTTTAGTGAATACGTGATAACATCCCACAAAATGGTCCACAACCATCCATGCACCAGGGTGTATATGCAGAATGATCCATGGTCTAGACGACTGTCAGCGGAAGAGAAAGAAAATGTAGAACCACTTCTTCACCAATCACACTCATCAGATGAAATAATTATGCATGTTAAGGAAACATTCCACAAGGACATAACTCTTAATGACGTTAGAAATCTGAAAGCTTCAGTTAATAAAGGTAACGTTAATGTAAATGTAAACTACTTCAGGTATATCGAGCCGTTATGACATTTTTGAATTCCTTAAGTCCCGTGGGAAGTTATTGGAGTATTATTCAGATGAACAGATAAGGAATTCACTAATGAGAGTCTGTTTTTCTACTTATGAGCAAATAGATTTGTATAAACAGTTTCCGGAGGTTGTTGGCATCGATTCTACATATAACACAAATAAAGGGAAGTAAGTTTATTAATTAATTAATCAACATGCAGGTATTCTTTGTTTCAATTAGTTGTAACGGATAATTTTGGTCGTGGGAGACCGGTTCTATTTGCTTGGACGCGAAAGGAATTCAAGCGTGATGTCGTTTGGATTTTGGACTCGTTTCGTAGAATAATGGAAGACACCTGAGATTACGTCTCCTAGTCATAGATAAATCTGTAGGGACTAATGACATAAATACCTAACTTCAGTGTTTGACAAATAAGAATGGAACTTAGGGCCCTGCCGTTGACTTCGATTTCGTATGAAGTTAAGTGTAATCAAAAGTACTGTATTACTACTATTTCACTTAAAGCAAGATGTCAATCCATATGACTACGGGTGTTAACATACAGTGTAAAGTGAAGTCTACACGAGAGGAATAATTTAATAGGTTGGCATGTAGCAATGTTAGTACGATTTCGCCGACGTTGAATTATGCCTACAATCAGTTTCTCAGGCCCACATCTCGTCATAATGAAAAATTTAGTTTCACTGAGATAGAATAAGAAAAGTATGGTAGGCAGGATGTTAAATATATTTCATGAAAAATATTAAGGGAATGTCTTCACACAATTGTTTTTCGTAATTACTGCTGGGATGCGTAATTGCTGTGACCTGGTTGACTGACTTGACCAAACATCTACAAGTAAGTGAATAAAGTATAATTTTTAAATCGTTGAAGTTAGAAATAAGTAATGTAAAAGTGAAACGCTTTATATTCTCCTACCTTTGCTGAAAAAAGGTTCATTCTCCTTTCTCATTCTTTGGTCAGGACAGCATTCTTCTGCGGTTTTCACTGTGACATACATTGTTCTTCTTCTAAAGTATAGCACCAAGCAAATGGGTGTTTACAAGGAATGCATGACATCTCTACAGGTACAATAACTTAGGCTATAAATTACAATCGTGAAGTATCGTAAATTAAAACTTTTTCAAAAGCTTACATTGTTCATTTATTGTACAAGCAATTACAACAGATTACAATAAAAGTTAAACTCCGGATCCTTCACAATGAACACTGCATATATATCGGTAAGTGCTATTCCCTCACACAATTAAAAGGTATTCCAGGAGGAGAACAGCATCCTGAGGAACTGCAGTAGTGTTTTCTAGCTATTCCAAACTTATTCCTTTGATGCTGTTTCTTAGCAACAGTTAGCAGTATTCATAGTGACTTTAGAGAAAACTTTATCATATCTTCACTTTCACCAACTGTCCCTTCAAGTACAATAGCATGCAGTAACTACATACACACAAGCATTGCAACTTAAACATCACAAAATCCCTACAGATAACTTGTTTCATAATAAATGCTTTAGAAACATGAGCCATAAGTAGACCTTCCATGTCATTCATAGTCACAAGTAATTCATTAAGCATCTCAGAATATGTTAGTGATGTGAACATGAAAAATTATTAAGACTGATATAACTGAAGTAACACGTTTAGTAGTTGTAGGACATACCTGCGAGCTACTATTCTACAGAAAGGTGATTCCAATTTGAAGCAGTCTGGCATTGTATAAGCACCATCTATACTATTCTTCCAGCACAAATGCACAATGATATCGAGATAATCTGATGCAATGTAATGCACTCAGCAATTACGGTCCCTCGAAATTCTATGTTACAATGTAAATTAAACTAGTATCACATTTTCAACTGAGCCATTTTAACTAGGAACTTCACAGAAATGGATAAAATCAACAGGAAATTCAGCAAATTGCCTCATTCATCGCATACTCTCTTCGATGTGTTATGGAATATTTCAGTCATCACGGATGATGATAAAAAAGTGTTTGGCATCCTCAAAACTTATATTTAACTTGGGTCTGTGGGCTAGTTCTCCTTCAAATGTCTCGTTATCATAGAATAACTGCTATGGAAACAACCATTGCCTATAGTTAGTTTTCAACCTTAATATCCTCAAAAAACTAGCAAATAACAAACCATTACGGCTCTAAAACGCGAAGAATAGTCTTTTTTTGTTAAATTTCTTATATACGATGAGGTATTGAAGTAATACATACTCTGGGATATCATGACAGGTTCTTCCATTAATACGAACACAATACTGGAAAATGTTGCTTTTTCGGTTATAGAAGCCTGAAACCAGTTTTATATTATCTACTTTCACAAAAGTAAACGCTTATAACGCCTCTATACGCGTGAACACGATAACCCATACATTCCGCGATAATATATCACTATAACGTTTATTGTCACCCGCTGCACATCATCGGCTGAGTTTAAACATGGAACACTACACAGAAATGCAGCAGTTCAAGTTGTCATCACAGTTAAACACTCAACAGACATCGAAACGGCTTAAGCTGCCACTTTGAAACTCTGATATGCCTCACAAAAATGTATGATGAGGATACATGTCATGAAGCAAAAGTACTTATTAGCTCACAGGTGATTCATCAACTTGGACACCGTTTTCAACCGACGAAGTACCCCCTAAGTCTAAAGAGGCTCTCATAGCCTATTATAAATTTCTGTCCTCAAGTAGTGACTATATTTTAGGTATGATCAGACATCAGATAAATTTATTTGATGTGACAGTGATACAGTATTGATAACTGGAAGGTGGAAAGTGAGAGCTTAATTATATTTAGGCTCAATTACCTACAAGTCTTCATGTACCAGGGTGAGCCACACTTATCATGTGAGGGCTGATAGTAATACCCAGCTGTCCATGTTGAAGAAGGTGAAGCAGGAATTCAACCCATGACCCATCGACTGTTAACCGAGTGCTTAAGCAAACTTTCAGATACGGTAAAACTCAACTGAAATCGAAGCTGCTACCAACAGAGTTGGATTCAATCAGACGTAAAACCCATCAACGATAGTTTTAGAGGATTCGATCTACCTAACGCCAAAATACTGTCATTACATGTAGTCCTCGAAATTATGTATTCTCCCAGTGGCACAAATTTTCCAACCATTTCCAATCAGCAAGATCTCTTAAATTGTATACTGTTTTAAAGCGTCCTCTGAAAGCTAAGTTTAATGTTTCCACAAATAGACATATAGGCAATTACTGTCGGTCGGTCGGTCGGTTTTCGACATAGAACTTTGCACATATGTGCGGCAGTTCAAGTCGCCACACTCCATGTAGCACACAAAGCAAGAGAAGAAAGTAGAAGAAATGCATAATATAGACAGTAAACAGAGGTGTGAGACAAAGGAATAGTAATAACAGAGAACAAAACAGTTTAATTGGAAATCATAAGTCACAAGGAGTGGATGCATCTGCGCCAGCCACTGAGAACAATTTTGAGCCATGTCACCAATTGTTTCCAACCATTGGTTTTTACCGTCCCGAGGACCCCAACCAGGAAGTCTACATCTTCCTACGTGGCTTAAGCTAACTGTTGTGGGTTTCATTGACTGGTGCCATGTTTTCGTCTGACCGTCGCTAGCTCTTTTCCAGTCTGGCCCTATATCAGCTAACATTGCCCGTCGAGGAAGGCGATGACTAGGCATACGTAGCACATGTCCTAACCATCTCAGTCGATGTAATTTCACAGTTTTGTTGACTGATTTCCCCGCCTTACCTAGCACTCGACGCCTAACCTCAATATTGCTCACCTTATTATACCACTTCACATGGGAGATAGAACGTAGACACCTATGATCGAAGACAGCTAATCTTTCCATGTCTTCCACTCTCAATGGCCAGGTCTCACAGCCATAAAGGAGGACGGAGCGGACTGTTGAGCAGTACACACGCCCTTTGGTCGATAGTCGGATATCGCGTCTACGCCAGAGACGGCGTAAACTGGCATATGCGAACCTAGCCCTCTGTATTCGTGCTGAGATTTCGTCGGAGGTCAACCCGTTGGCACTGGCTGATGGTACTTCCCAAGTAAGTGAAGCGGTCAACGTGCTCTACCACTTCACTTCCTATTTCTAATCTAGGGGTCAGTGAAGTCCAATCCTGCAGCATCATCTTACATTTTACAGAGGCGAATCGCATGCCAAACATACGAAGATTGTTGCTCAAGGTGTTCAGTAGACTCTGCATTTTTTCAGAGTCCTCGCCTAGAAGGACTATATCGTCCACATATTCTAAGTCGACGAGATTATTCCCTGGTAGCAAGTCAATCCCTGAGTCGCTGAAGTGTGTTAGGGTTAAGTCCATTAGTACGTC